TATTATCAAGGTCCTAGCTGTTGCTACATGGACTTTTATTTCAGGCCCTCCTCTTGTTATACTATAGTGCTGGATCTTGTGTGGTATCATGTCTCGTACGTGTTTTATAATAATTTACTGCTTGCAGTGGCAGAGATGAGTCATGGAATTGCAGATCAGTGCTTCAAATTATAGGCGTCTGCTTCTACATTCTCAGTTCCTCTTCTTCCACCTACTCCAAAATAGGGATGTAAAAAGTATAACTGTTAGAACAGTTAACAGATTAGTCTGGGCTTATCGGTTACCATGAATAGTTACATAGTGGCTCCTGCCCTGCTCTTGGAGAGCCAGCTGCCACCCCATGTTGTGGGTTTGTGTAACTGCTGAGATTTATACAGTTACCCAATTACCTGCATTTTAACATTGCTACTCTAAACTACCTCTTTTTTTACCTACCTGTTCTAATAATGTAATTATTGGGTAAGAAGTATGGGTCTCACCTTGGAGAATAACTAATTCTCTGGTTGTGCCAAGAAAATGGGATTGCTTTCATAAAACCATATTGAAAAAAGACTGAATCACCAGGCAGGTGAAAGGAGCTGACATTGAATATACTGTTTGTGGGGGTCTGCACTTAAAAGGGGGTTAAGTGATTTTTCTGGTTTTAAAGACTTGATACACAATGTCTGTAGCACAGATCTTCATGGGTAATTGCGTATACAAAATCCAGTTACTAGTCAGTAACCTTCCTATTAAGGTACATATCGCTGTATTGATGGACTGTTTCATCGTAACAAAATATACAGCCACATATTAGAGAGATGTGTTTTTTGTTTTTTTTTAAGCCTGACTTCTTAAATAGCAGGCATGAACTTCACCAAATGATTTTAGAAGGGGCAGAAACACAAAGGTTGACTTTCTCATTGTCACAGTCAGTGGAAAAATCTGGAATTAAACGTGGTCTCTTCTACCTACTTCTTTGAGCACTGGGGGTAAACTAGGACATCTAGCACCATGACCACCTGTTCCAAGAGTGCTATGAAACTGAAAATATGGCACAGAACATCATCGGTGCCGACCACTGGCACTTTGGCACAGCCTCTGGCACTGGCACAAACAACACCACAGGAACTGGAGATGCAGCCTATTCCAGCACCATCGGTGCTGAGCAAGCCACCAACACCATCCAATGCCCATGCAAAAACCAATAAAGAACCAGCCAGGAACCCAGTTCCGAACCGTTAAGATTCTCACCAGCACTATCATTGCTGGTGCTGCTATCTCTAGCACCAATGAATTCCATAGCCAGATAAGACTCGCATACTCACAGGAGACACCATAAAGGAGTTTCCCTGTAACCTTTGGCGCCACATCATGTATCCTCCCGTGGCGCCGTGACCAGGCAGATGTCTTTATCTCCTCCTTCAAGGGGCTCAGTGAGATCTCTTAGGTCTCTGACACTATCAGTACAGACACTGTCTTTCATGAGGATCACAGGAGTGTATTTTCTTCTAGAAAATCCTCCCCCACAAGGTATTGAGTATTACAAACATTGGCACTCTTGTGACCATCCATCCCATTGGATCACATAGTACCATTATCCACCAGCCTACGCCAGGCAGTGGTCATCATGCTGTTACCCGTCTGCCTCAAAACACCAGTCTAAAGTTTCTTCCACCCCAGCTCACAGGCGACCCATCACATCATTTCGTGCAAGTACCTCTCCTCCTCAACAACCTGATTTAGAGGAGGGACAAATCTGAGCCTGAGGAACAACAGCCTGGTACCTCTCCCACTGAACAGTCCTCCTCATCCCCAGATGAGACAGTAATTCCAGGTGATATTTTACCTATAGACAACCTGAAGCAGTTTCAGGATTTGTTACGCTAGTCAGGAAGTCCAGTACAGGAGAAACTGTCTCCTCAAAAACCTCCAATCCTCCCAACAGGCCAAAATTGCATTGCTCATCAATGAGGCCATTATGGAAGTGGCAGAGGAAATCGGGCAGACTCCAGCTTCTGTCCTGCCCACCAACAAACAGGCTGACATGAAATATTGTCCCTGCCAAAGGCATGGATGACTTTTTTTTCTTCACCCCAACCAAACTCCTTGGGGGTAGACACAGCCCAACAGAGGTCTGAATTACCACAGTATAAGAATGCCATGACAGACAGAGTAAGCATGTGGACTTATTTGCTAAGAAAATGTGTTTGTCGACCCTACAACTTTGTATTGCAAATTACTCGGCCCTACTAGCAAATCCAAAATCACTGGACTCATGGATCACCTACCCTACCTGATAATAAAAGGCCTATCCTCAAGCGTATTGTCCAAGAGGCTATATCACCATATGAACCCCCCTCCATATGGCCTTGAACAGGGCTGACTGAGCCACGGTGAGCCCTGCTCGCCAGCCACGCTGTCCGGTGTTCTGCGCATGTGCAGATCGCCCGAACCCGGCTCTTCCGGGATGTAACCTACTCGCCACGGGCGAGTACTTTACATAGATTGTCGAGCCCTGGCCTTGAATGTCGCCAATGCAGCAGTACACTCCACTGCAACCTCAATAGTGATGTGCAGAGCATCTTGGCTTCAAGCTGCTGGGGTTCCAAGAGTTGCAATCCAAAGTAGAGGACCTCTCATTCAATAAACAAAAATTGTTTGCGGAGAAGACCACAAGTCCTCCACAAGTAAAAATTCAAGAACAATCTTACGTAAGTTAGGGATTTACATGCCATCATATTGCTGTAATCTTTATTCACCATACCAGAAGCACTACGACTTCTCTTACTCTTGGTACCAACAGAGGGGTCTCGACCAATCCTGTGCGAGACGGCGCCCTCAGAGGAGATGTTGGCAAAAAAACCACACTGCTAACCCAACAAGCAAACAGCAGGTTTGTGGCATTGGTAGAGGGCATGTAAGACTTCCATCTTAGATGTTCATGCCACAAGCAGGTTCCCATTTTTCACCACTGTTTGAGACCATTCTATCACCATTGGGCCACCATCGCATTGGACCACTGGGTCCTTGAGATTGTGGCATCTGGCTACACATCCTATTTACATTCCCCCTAACTTCCCCACTCTCCATGTCCCTCTTTGGGACCCCTTTCATGAAGACCTATTAAAACAGGAGGCCCACTGGCTCCTTTCCATCGGAGCAATAGAGGGGTCACCAGATGAGTTCTTAAGCAAGGGCTTCTACTTTCACTACTTTCTCACAGAAAAGGACATTCTCGACCTTCGCAAGCTCAACCGATACCTTTGCAAGCAGTGGTTCAAAATGGTTATCCTAGGATCGATAATCCCAGCCCTGGATAAAGCTCTCAGCTTACAAGATGCCTGTTTCCATGTCACCATCCATCATACTCACAGATGGTTCCTTCAATTCACATTAGCAACAGAACATTTCCAGTATCGTGTCCTGTCATTAGATGAGTTGGAGTGGAAATAAGAAAATCCAAGATAGATAGATAGCAAAAGCAGTTACCTGTCAATTGTAGGACCTATGTTAATGAAGCTAATTAAGTGGGTTGGATGTGTTCCATTAATAGCTTTTGATGTGAAAATGCCCATGTGAAAGGCTGGGGAAATTGACTTTATAGTGTGTTAATCAGTTATTGTCTCTGTTCAAGCCCAAGGAAACGGCGTCAAATTTGTATCGGAGGTGGCAGTGCAGGATAGCAGGGGGCTCACCAGAAGTGAGGTGGGGAGTGCGCTGGCTCTGCCTCCGAGGACTATCTAATAGTTATGTAGCTGCTAATATTTGAGTTACACAACTATTGAATTACCTGCTATCTATTATCCCTAGTCCGGCCCCCTCTTTCATGGTTTGTTTTCCTTTATATCATCCTTGTCTGCAGCGGGAATTCTTTTCTCAGTTCAAAATTTTCTCACCTTAAGTGGAGAAGTGCCAAGGTTGTGACACAACTTTCTTATTTCCAGTCTGAATTTATTCATGACTAGTTGTGCCTGTATTGTCCTCTAGCTTTAATAACTCTTTACCTTTCTTGCTGTTTATCTGTGGCCACAATGTATATCTGAACAAGCCTATCTCTTCTCATAAACAAGCCATCCAATCCCATGAGCGAGCATCTTAGTAACACTTCTCTTCAACTGTCCTAATTTAAATGAACTCTTTGAACTCTTCTTGAGTATGGGTGACCAGAATTGTGAACAGTGTATAAGATGAGTTCTCACTAATTCCTTGTACAGCATTATTAATATTTGTCTATCTCTATTGGAAATGGCTCGTCTGATGCATCCTAGGATGACATTTGCCTCTTTTGTAGCTGCATCATATTGGTGATTCAAATTCAGCAGTGTACTAGAGTTTTTCCTCCCCCTGTTTTCTTCCACCTGATGAGCCTTTAATTTGTAGCAGAACTGCTTAATATGAATCTTTTCAAGCCAGCAGTTGGCATGCTAGGGTCCTGTTTTAAGTGATCATTTTTTCACATATCCATATGCGATTGTGTAATTAATGATCTCACCTTTAAATTTTCTGTAGCAGCCACCCAGTTTTGATTGGTCCTATGGATGGTTACTTAAAGTGAGTATATACAATTTCTGCAGTACATTGTGCAGTTTCTTTAAACCTCTATCTAGCTGTGGAGATAGAGGTGGTTTGTTTCACTTCATGATAAAATTGTTGGTTAAATACCTAGAGCTGGTTCTGAATAACCAAAAGTGAAGTGAGAAATTGGGTTGAGGCCAGCTATCCCCTGGAACTACTTCCAATGAATGTGGCGGAGGGAGAAATCTTGAATTGTGCCATTAGCATGAATCCAGATTGTGAGAAGATTAAAAAAAAATTCTGTGAAGTGCTTCTAAAATTTGACATTTTCCCTAAAAAAAAAAAATTAAGACCTACTTGTGTAAGGAAGGAGTGGATATCAAGAGATGAATTCTACTTTCAACCATAGGACTGAATGTTCCTATCTTTGCATTATAGTGGAGTTACAGTTCTGGAGGTCTGCATGAAGGGACACGTTTTAATGTATGCTTTTAAACTTTAAGGTCATAATGGTATCCATCCCAGAATACTACGAAGGAAAGAATGTCCTTCTCACGGGGGCTACTGGCTTCATGGGAAAAGTGCTTCTGGAAAAGCTACTGAGGTCCTGCCCTAAAGTGAAAGCGGTTTATATATTGGTGAGACATAAAGCAGGACAGACACCTCAAGCACGAATGGAAGAAATGATAAGCTGTAAGGTATGTCTAAAACATCTTTTTGTTAAGTCATTAAAACGTGATACAAACCTCCTTTCTCTATTGTAAAGAGATGATTGAAATGGTGAGCAAGTCTAACATGTTGGGACAGGTTTTTTTGTTGTACTCATTTTCAAGTAACAGCTGTAATATTGATAATGAACTAAATATTAGGGTTGCATTTTTCATTTTATGGGAGGGTGATGTGAGACAGCATCAATAGCCTTATTAAAGTCAGGGTATGCCACATCTTCTGGTTCACCCCATCCACAAAGTTACATTGTCAAAGTTGTTAGGTCGGTTTGACACTGTTTTTGATGATCCATGCTGACTATTGCTTATCACCTTATGTTCTAGGTATTTGTAAATTAATTGTTTAATTATTTCTCTAGGTACTGAAGTCAGGCTGACCAGTCTGTAATTCCCTGGGTTGTCCTTATTTCCCTTTTTATAGCTTAGCACTATATTTGCCTATTTTGTAGTCCTCTGGAATCTCCATCTTCCAAAGATAATTGCTAATGTCTCCTATCTCCTCACTGAAGTCTTTGAATATTCTGAGATGTATTTCATCTGGCCCTGGTTGACTTGAAGACTCCTAACTTATCAAAGTAATTTTTAGCCTGTTTTCTTGTTACCCTTTATGTCCCTGACTAGTTAAATCTCATTTTGTGCTTTTGGTCTTTCTAATTTTGTCCCTGCATACGTGTTGTTTGTTCACTTATTCTTTGTAATTTGACCTCCTTTCCTCTTTCTGATAAGTGAAGATCTCCTGGGTAAGCCAGATTGTTTTCTTGTCAGTCTTCCTGTCTTTTCAATTCAGTAGGATAGTTTGCTCTTGTGTTACAGGGTTACTGGTTAATTCAGGCATGGCCAGATGTCTCACAGAATCCATAAAAAAGGCATCCCAGTGTTTAATATGGCAAGACTGTCTGCAAAAACCACAGGAGTCAGCATCAGTGCTTCAGCTTGAGCTGAGAGGCTTGTGTTCAGGGCCCTGCAGGCTGGACATGAGGAAAAACTTCCTACCTGTCCTGGTGGTTAAACACTGGAATAAATTGCCTCAGAAGGTTGTGGAATCTACATCACTGGAGATGTTTAAGAGCAGGTTGGACAGACACCTGCCAGGGATGCTTAGATGGTGCTTGGTCCTGCCCTGAGGGCAGGGGACTGGACTTGATGATCTCTCGAGGTCCCTTCCAGTACTAGTGTTCTAGGATTCTTTAATAAAGTCTCTTTTTAAAACTGCCAACACTCCAACTATTTTTCCTCTTAAATTTACTTCTTATGGGATCTTATCTACCAACTCCTGGGGTTTGCTAACATCTGCCTTTTTTTAATCCATTATATTGTGCTGTTTTTTTCTTTCCTACCTTTCCCTGGAATGATGAATTCTACCATTTCATGATCACTTTCACCTAAGCTGCCTTCCACTTTCAAAATTCTCAACCAGTTCCTCCTCATTTGTCAAAATCAAACCTAAAACTGCCTCTCCCCTGGTAAATTCCTCTGCATTCTGAAATAAAAAATCGTCTCCAATACACTTTCAAGAACTTGTTGGAAGGCAGTAGTTAATAGACAGGGCTCGACAAATAATACAATCTACTCACCTGTGGCGAGTAGATTGCAACCCGGAAGAGCCGGGTTCGGGCAATCTGTGCATGTGCAGATCGCTGGAAAGCGCGGCTGGCGAGTGGGGCTTTCCGCGGATCGGTGAGCCCTGTTAATAGATAGATATCCTTACAGGTTATCCACTCAAGGCAGGAACAAGGTCCCTAAATGAGAGGAGCCTCGGTTTCTACTTGACATTGGGGCTCAGTTGTGGGGAGAAGTGGTTGTTTACCCTTTTTCCCCATAGGAATGGGTAATGGAGGAAATCATAAGTTCCCTTTTCCTGATGGAAAAGGGCAATCCTGAAATGCATCTTCAGTCAAAAACCCCAGATGATTTGCTGTTGCGCATAGTTTGCTGAGATGTGAATTGCTGAATTATTTTCCATGGTGTTCTCCTTAGATGCCAGCACTAAATCACGGGCAGAGAGAGACAGTTTTGGGTGCCCCATCTCAGTCTTGGTGTGCTGTGAGGCATACAGTGAACTTGCTCATTTTCCACTCTTTGCTCGAGTTGTAGCATTGTGCCACACCCTTCAAAGCCTACGTGTTCTAGTCTCTTCAACTGAATTAGTGCAGTGTCCACCATCCTTTCAGTTTGACTGATTCTGCCAGTCTTGTGGTTTGCACCACAATTCCAGGTTTATTTATTTATTTTTTTTAAGTCATACTCCCAGGCCTGTCAATTCTCACCTCCCTGTCCTGATCTCAACATTTTGTGACTATCATATTGTGGGCCACCCAGTTCTCTGTCTCAACCCTGGCCTTGTGTGTTAGCTTGTGCCAGGAGAGAATCTTCCCCTTTTGCACATTCTTCTCTGAACGGTACCCATCAGCTATTGCTTTGAGTCTGTGGCATACATTGAACAAACATCTTCTGAACATTTTGGGGTGGTCATGTGTCAGGATACCCATGAAATTTACGCCACAAAGCCTGTTCCAGCTCTGAATAAAGCATATCAGTTTTCAAACCAATCTGATTCTAGTGAATTCAAAAGCACCTTGAAACTTCACTTACAGCCTGGAGTGGAAGTATTGTGTCTCTTTGAACGACTACTGGTATGTAAAGTGTTCTTTGGAGCTGTCATGCACCCAACACTGTAAAACCCTGAATGAGAGATTTGCTTGATTGTTTAGAAGTTGAAGCTTAGGCTTGGCCTACAATAGGACTTTACATTGAATTTAGCTGCATATGGTCAGTTTTTCTAGATGACTTATTCACATTGCCAAGCTTGTCACATCGAGCTTCAAAGCTGCTGAAGTTAATGTTGGTTCCTCCTTCTTTCCTGAGGAGTAATGCTGCTCCTAACCTTATAGGGTCAAGTTTGTAAGTGTAAACACAGTGTTAGTATGCCCCAAAGTAGTACAGGTTGTGCATCCCTAAACTGGGACACTCTAGTCGGGCAATATCTGTGGTCCAGCGGGACAGTGGATGTTCCTGGACCACAGAGCCCAGGAACAGGGAGGTCTGGGGTGGGGAGAGAAGGGGTGACTTAGCCAGGAGTCCTGGGGCCAGGGAAGGGTTGGAGGGGAGGTGATGAGGAGTTCTGGCCCTAGTGGCCAAGGAGCTCCAGGGACAACTGCAGAGCCAGGCAGCTGTGGCGCTTCATCCCTGTCCACAGAGCTCCAGCTGTGGCGCTCTGGCCCCCCTGGCAGCAACTAGAGAGCCCCTGGGGACTGGGACATCAGCAGGGTAGCATGGGCCATGAGGGAAGGGACCTTTCCTGGTCTGGCAAATACTTTTGATTGTGACCGGTCAGGTTCCGAGGGTGCCAGACCAGAATGTCCTAACCTGTGTTTGAACAGCGTACGCTTATTTCACCAGTATTTGTTTTACAAAGTTAAATCAAATTATGCCCCCTTCTCATGTGAAACACAACCTTGAAAGCTCAGTCTACAAACAATACTTTCAGTAATAGTTGGTACCTTACTGGAGGCTTCTTGCATTTTTGTTAATGTGATGTTGGATTAAAACATTTTGATAATGGTGTTCTGTTCAAATTGTTGGTAATTTTAAATCAAACTTCATGTCTGACTGGGATGTTGACATAAATGCTAAGGTTCTGTTGCACTGATGTATTAAAACGTGGCCTATGGAACATCCATTACTGTTAGTTGGTTTGCCCCTGTAAATTTCCTGGACATCTAATGGGTCGGGGGAGACAAGGATTTTGTATTTGTATATAATACACCAAATAGATGATGGTAATCCATGTGAAAAAATACAGATGTGATTAACACATTTATTGTGCCTCTTTAAAAGCCCAATTTAGTAGGCAGATGAAAAATGAGGACTTATTCTGACTTTCAGATTCCTTTAGCAATCTTAAATCTTCCTGATATAAATGTAGCCGTGTTAGTCTGGTGTAGGTGAAACAAACAAAAAAAAGGACTATGTAGCACTTTAAAGACTAACAAGATGGTTTATTAGGTGATGAGCTTTCGTGGGCCAGACCCACTTCCTCAGATCAAATTCCTCAGATCAAATCTTCCACTATTTGATCTGAGGAAGTGGGTCTGGCCCACGAAAGCTCATCACCTAATAAACCATCTTGTTAGTCTTTAAAGTGCTACATAGTCCTTTTTGTTAAATCTTCATGTGTCTTTTGAAACGACCTGCAAGAGCAGCGTGTGTCCTTTTAGCTGTGAAACTTTCCTCAGAATCACATCATGGCAGTGTGTTCATTCTTGGGTCAGCAACACATCTTCTGGACCTAATTCATGGAATTAAAGACTGATGTTTGGAGTACTGTAGGTCTAGAAATGAGTAGTATACAGTGAAAAATAGCCTGGAATGTGGTGTTTTTAACTCTGAAAGGGCCAGATATGATAGACTGTAAGTTAATTACAGCTACTTCAGTTAATTTTTAGAGGCTGTCTTTGACTCTGTTGGAGTCCTGAGTATATGGACTTACGAGACCTAAACAAACTTAGCTTTAAGGACAGGAAAAAATAGCTCAAAGAAAATTTTAAAAATATGCATCATGCATGTTCAGCTTTACCATTAACTTGGAATGACCTGCATAATCCATTGGCTGCTCTGCCAATTGCATAATTTACCAGTCCCAGCTCATGTTGATATTAAAAATATGATGGCAAAATTTCAATTCATATATGCATTATATTTGAAGAAGTACAACTCCATTTTATAGGCAGAAATATGTATAGATATCCCTTCTGCTACGTAAATTAAACAGCTCACTTCTTAAAATCATTGTGAATTTTAATTTTTAGACCTGATTTTCTTTTGACAGCTCTTTGACAGGTTAAGGGATGAACAGCCTGAATTTAAAGAGAAAATAATTGCAGTTACTAGTGAACTTACGCAATCTGAACTGGACCTTAGTGAACAGGACAAAGAAAAGCTCATAGACTGCATTAATATTGTATTCCATTGTGCTGCTACCGTCAGGTTCAATGAAACGCTAAGGTGAGTATAAAGCTTGATATGAAGAAAACTAAAGTAGCTGAATTATATTAGTGTATTCTGCAAAGGCACCAGCTTTAAAATAACACCTGCAAAATATTATTTAAAAAAATGGATTTTTTTTTAAAGTTTAATTTTGTGTGCTGGACATCACTGCGTATGTGGTCAATTTTTCTTTTGCTTCTCTAAGAAAACAAGGATACGTAGAAAAACCAATATGGAGATCTGTGCCTGGTCCTAGGCTTGACACAGGCACAAGACAGAGCAAGTTAAGTAATGTTGTTGCTTGTACTGGCCTTGACAACCTTCATGTGTCCTGTGTACTCCTGCTGTGATGGCCCCTGATATAAGTGTAGCTGGTAGGTAATAAATGAATGTGGATGGTTCAGATTAAGATGCATTTGAACTGCATCAGCACCCATTTTATGAATCATCTCATACAGAACATGTATCTGTGTAATTTCAGGGTCACAGGTAAGGGTTCACTGAGGGGGAAAAATGTTCTCCTCCTGAAGGTGTAAGGATAAAATTCTAGCCTTTGCTTTTTCACTTGACAGTGGGGTCAGAGAATCAAAAATATGCTTAAGGGTGAGTGCAGCGGAAGAAAGAAAATGTGTGGTAGTGGTGTAGAAGGAGAAAGTTATGACAGAGGGGAATAGCAGCAGTACAAAGCAGTGTGTATGGGGAGGAAAAAAAAGGGGAAGAGTGAGGAGAGAACTACTAGGAATGCTTCTGAGATTAGATTGAGGGAAAACTACTGAATGCTTAAGACCGAGGTGAAGAACCTGAGGTCCCGGGGGCTGGATGTAGCCCCTGGCTTGCCTGGATCCGACCCCCAAGGCTCCCTTGCCTCTAGCATTTGGGAGCTTATGCTGGTGCTTCATCTCTCTCTCCTCCCCCCCCCACCCCATGGGTCTGTGCACACAGAATCTACTAGCCTGGGCCTCTCTAGGTCTGGTGGTATGCAACGGGCATGTGGGGAGTTGCCACATCAATGAAGAGGTTGGGGTTTTTTTTGTTTTTTGTTTTTTTCCCCTTGTGTGCAGCCCCCAGCTGAACCAAGCAAGGTTCTCCACCCCTGGCTTAAGAAAAATAAATTTGTAGAAGAAAAGGACTAACACCATCAAAAGAGATAGGTATATTCATTTTTAGCATAAAGGTTTTTAATGTTGAAATGTTAGCGTATTTTTTTGCTTAGGAAAAGATTGCTATAGGAGAAACCTCTTTTCAATTGGGATGGAGGAGGGAGAGAGACTTGGCTATAGAAGACCAAAAGGAAGGTTAGGAAACCCTGATTTCTGACTTGTAGGCTGTCTACTCTACAAGGTTTTTGTGTAAAAACGATCGGTTTTGCATGAAAACCGGTGGAACGTCCACACCTCAAGCGCATTTTTATTCAAGAAAATCGACAGAACAGAGGGCTTTCACTGGTAGAGTTATTCCTCTCCTCATGAGGAATAACTCCTTTTTTGCGCTATAGCTCTTGTGCAAAAAGGCAGGTGTGGACGCTCTGGAGAGGTTTTTGCACAAGAAACCCCTATTGGCAAAAGCACTGGTGCTCTGATGGCCATTCTGTGAATAGCAATCAGAGCTTTCTTGCGCAAGAGTGTCCATGCAGCGTGGATGCTCTCTTGCGCAAAAGCACATCGCCTTTGCAATGCGCTTTGAGGTCTGGACATGTTTTTGTGCAAGAACTTTCGCAAAAGGCTTCTTGCGCAAAAACCCTGCAGTGTAGACACAGCCCTTGTGGTATACTGATTGTGGCCTTCTAGGAATGTGCTATGACAAAAATGAGCAAGTCACTTTTTAATACTGCCTTCCCACAAATTCCTGTAATTAGGTAGGCCTCTTATGTCTCCAACATGAGAATTAGCTAAAGAGCTAGGTTTACAGAGGCCTTAGCTGAAAAATCCATCTGGAGTGGGGACATAATGCTAGGGCTGGGAGAGACCTCAGGAGATCATCAAGTCCAGTCCCCGACCCAAGGCAGAACCAATCCCAACTAAATCAACCCAGACAGGACTTTGTCAAGCTGGGACTTAAAAGCTTTAGGGATGGAGGTTCCACTCCTTGTCTAGGTAACCCATTCCAGTACTTCACCGCCCTCCTAGGGAAATATCAAAATATCATTCCTCCTCATTTGGTCACCACTGAGAACAGTGAGGGTCCCAGAACTGGATACAGTACTCCAGTTTTGGCCTCACCAGTGCTGAATAAAGGTGAATACAGGCAGTCCCCGGGTTACGTACAAGATAGGGACTGTAGGTTTGTTCTTAAGTTGAATCTGTATGTAAGTCGGAACTGGCGTCCAGATTCAGCCGCTGCCGAAACTGACCGCCAGTTCTGACTTACATACAGATTCAACTTAAGA